TAATGATGAGCATCTTTCATGGGCTTACTGGTTATTTGTGTATCTTCTTTGCAAAAATATCTGCTTAAGTCCTTTGCCCATTATTGAATTCAGTTGTTTGCCTTTTTGTTGTAGTCTTTACATATTCTTGATATTAAACATTTATCAATTATATGATTTGCAAATATTTTCCTCCCATTCTTTAGGTTTTCTTTTAATTTTCTTGACAACACCCATTGATGCACAGAAGTTTTTAGTTTTGAATGAAGTCCAACTTATGCATTTTCTCTCTACCTAGTTGTGCTTTTGATGTCGTATCTAAAAATCCACTGCAAATTCAAGGTCATGAAGAGTTACAACATTTTCCTGTAAGAATTTTATGGTTCCAGCCCTTAACATTTAGGTCACTTATTCATTTTGAGTTAATTTTTGTTCATGGTGTGATGTAGGAGTCCAAATTCATTCTTTTGCATGGGAAAATCCAGTGGTCCCAGCACCATCTGTTGAAGAGAAAATTCTTTCCCAAATAAATGGATATAAAACTCATGCTAAAAATTACTTTGCTATAGATGTATGAGTTTATTTCTGAACTTTCAATTCTATTCCATTGGTCCATATGCTTACACTAACTCAAGTACCACACAGCTTTGATCATTGTAGCTTTGTAGTTAAGTTTTGAAATTGGGAAGTGTGACTCTCCCAAACTTGTTTTATTTCAATACCGTGTTGACTTTTAGGGGCTTCATGCCATTTCATATGATTATGAGTGTCTGATTTTCCATTTTTCCAAAAAAGGATGTTGGAATTTTCACAGACATTGCATTGAATCTGTAGATTGCTTTGAAGGGTATTGATATCTTAACAATACTCAGTATTTTTATCCATGATCACAGAATATCTTTTGTCAATTTTTTTTGATCAAAAAGAAAACAAGTTCAGGGAAACCAGTGAAAAAGATCTCAGTAACCAGACAACCCTGAGCTCCTGCCCCCTAACCTACTGTACTTTCATTTCTCTACTGTGATGAAATCATGATTAACTCATCCTGGAATAATTTCCAGGGTCAACATGATCTTGTATTAAAAGCACAACAAAATCTCAGAACACTTATTTAAGAATTAAGTATTGTTAACAAACTAGATAAGAAATAGTTATACCTTTAAATTTACAGTTCCACCACAAACTTAACGAAACATATAAACACAATGAAATATTCTTGTATATATATTCATACTCACAGTGAAAGACAGTATTCATTATTTATTTGATACTACACCACATTAAAAGAAAAGGTAATCATAACTAAGATATTAAGAGTTCTGCAAAAATGCTATATGTTTTGTTTAACCCACTTAATTCTTGTACAAATTTGCTTGTATGCTCAGTCACTAGGGCATGTCTGATTCAGGCTCTTCTGTCCATGGGATTTCTCAGGCAAGAATACCAGAGTGGGTTGCTATTTACTCTCCAGGGTACCTTCCCAACCCAAAGATCGAACCCATGGCTCCTTCACTGGCAGGTGGATTCTTTATCACTGAGCCACCCAGGAAGCCCAAGAATTTAATAGTCCACAATTTCAAATGTCACCCTAAATCTAACAACCTTTCCTGAGAGGTACAGCAAGATCTCTGTGTCTTAGGGTTGCCCACCTTGGCTGAGAAATGGACAGTAAAAAGTTTTGAGTACACACCCCTAAGATACCTGTTTATGAATTATATATAAGAACTAGTCCCTACTTATTAAATTGAATATTAGTAAAGCTTAATTTCTATTTTTTAAAGAAAAAATAAGCCATAATATTTTTTTCCTATAATACACTGGATCATCTTGTATAGCATAGTCAAGAAAACTACTTTAGAGAATTAAAAAAGAGGAAAACAAAAGGGGAAGGTTTTTGCTCTTTATGATATATCCTAACTCTACTGCTTCTTGAAACTCAGAGACTCTGAATGCTGTCTCATTTTTAAGCCAAATCAATCTTGAGAAAGTACAACAAAGTTGAAGGTATCAGGCTCCCAGATTTGACACTATACTACAAAGCTAGAGTAATCAAAACACTACGGTATTGGCACAAAAACAGACACATGGGTCAATGAAACAGAATAGACATCACAGAAATAAACCAATGCTCACATGGTCTATTGATCTATGACAGAGGATGCAATAATAAATGATAGGGAAAAGAGAGTATCTTTAATAAATAGTGTTCAGAAAATTGGACAGCTACATGCAAATGAATGAAAGTGTACCTTCTCACATTTTATAGAAAAATAAGCTCAAAATGAATTAAAAACTTAAATATAAGACCTGAAAGCATAGTACTCCTAGGACAAAAAAAATCACAGGCAGTAATCTCTTTGACATTAGTCTTACCAATTTTTTTTTGGATATACCTCCACAGGAAAGGGCAACAAAAGCAAAAATAAACAAATGGAACTATATAAAACTAAAAAGCTTTTTGATCAGCAAAGGAAACTACCAACAAAACAAAAAAGTAACACTGATTTGGAGAAGATACTTGCAAATGATATTTCTGATAAGGGGTTGGTACCCTAAATGTATAAAGAACTCATAGAACTCAATGTCAAAAAAAAAAAAACAACCTGATTAAAAAATACATAGGGAACCTAAATAGGCATTTTTCAAAGAAGACATACAGATGGCTAATAGGCACATGAAAACTGTTAACATCATTAATCAGCAGGGAAATGCAAATCAAAACCACAATGAGATTATCACCTCAGATCGGTCAGAATGGCTGGTATCAAAAAGACAAGAAACAACAAGTGCTGGTGAGAAGGTGGACAAAAAGGGAATCACTGTGCGTGGCTGTTGAGAATGTAAATCTGTGCAGCCACTATGGAAAATAGTATGAAGATTACTCAAAAAACTAAAGACAGAACTACCATATGATCCAGTAATTCTACTTCTACTTCAACAGAAACAGTAAATTAAAAAAAATATATATATAGGTACCCCTCCAGTCACTGCACCACTATTTATAACAGCCAAGATACGAAAGCAACCTAAATGCTCATCATCAGATAAATGAATAAAACAAATACTATACACTGACGCACACATACAAAGGAAGACAACTCAGCCATAAAAAAGAATGAGCTCCTCTCAGTGGCAGCAACATAGATAAACTGAAGGATACTATGCTAAGTGAAATAAGTCAGACAGAGAAAAATGAGTACCATATGATTTCACTTATACATAGACTCTACAAAACAAACGAACAAACGAAACAGAAACAGACTCGTAGACATGGAGAACAAACAAGTGGTGGTCAAAGAGCAGAGAGGTGATTGTGGGAGGATGGACAGACAAAATCAGTAAACGGAATTAAGAAGAATAAACTTCCAGTTATAAAATGAATATATCACAGGGATGTAAGTGAACCCATAGAGAATACAGTCAATGATACCATAACAAATCTGTATTGTGATAGATGAAAGCTGGATTATTGTGGGGATCATTTCATAATGTATAAAAAATATCAAGTCACTATGTTGTACACCTGAAACAAATGTAGTACTATACACTAATTATATGCTGCTGAGCTGTGCTTAGTCGCTGAGTCGTGTCCAACTTTTTGTGACCACATGGACTGTAGCCTGCCAGGTCCCTCTGTCCATGGGGATTTTCCAAGCAAGAATACCGGAGTGGGTTGCCATGCCCTCCTCCAGGGGATCTTCCCTACCCAGGGGTTGAACCTAGGTCTCCTGCATTGCCAGTGGATTCTTTACAGTCTGAGCCACCAAGTAACCTGAAGAATACTGGAGTGAGGAGCCGATCCCTTCTCCAGGGGATCTTCCTGGCCCAGGAATCAAACTGGGGTTTCCTGTAGTGCAGGCAGATTCTGTACCAGTGAAGCTAAAAGGGATGCCCATATTAATTATAACTCAATTTAAAAAGAAAAAGAAAGATGGTTAGAATTCTAAACTCACCACCTGTGGTGACTAAAATGTAATCTGTAGCTTCTGGGGGGAAAAAAAAAAGGAAGAAAGGAAAGAAAGAAAGATGAGGGAAGGTGGAGAGAGGGAGAGGGAAAGAAGTGATGAGAAGAGACAAGAAGAGAAAAAAGAAAAGAAAAGGAAATTTCCCAAATTGAGTACACTAATCACAAAAGGTAAAATGGTGTTATTTATGGGAATGCTCTTCTTTGGCTACCCAAATTATTTTTTTTAGTGACAGTAGAATTATTTTCTTCCTCTAGTAAAAGTTTTCTGTAAATAAATCAAACAGATTGGGAAGAAAAAAAGAATACTGTCTCACTCTGTTAATGTTCCTTTCTTTCTATCGTGAATAAAACTTTCCCCCTACCTGATCTATTTTAAAGGGAAGTTTTAAAATGTTGCTCTCAGGTGCAAAGATGGGTCAAGGATCCTGTTCTACGACAGATTAGGGAGGGGTGTGAGATGACCCCGAGAGGGCAGAAGTGGTTCCGTGCCTTGCTGGTGCGCAGGGGGCTGGAGAGTGGTTAGAACAGGTCTAGAAGGCTGACAGACCCCTGTAAGAGGCATGTGGTGTGTGCTCACAGGGGGGTTTCCTCCAGAAATCAGAAGGAAATTTTAATTCCTTCACTTGCCAAGTAAGTGGGGGGTTAGTCATCCCTTCCAACAGGAATCAAATGAAAGAAAGGGGCTGTTACTGATCTCACAGATGAAGAAATGACGAAAGGCACACATTTAAGTACGTCATCTCCCGGTTGCAGCACTGCCAGACTAGTTTTTTCATTTCTAACATTGATACCAAAAAGTATTATCACTTCCTTTTGTAATCTATTGTTTCTAAGCTGACAGATACACCCAACCAACATTGTAATTCTTTAAAACACATTTTAAGTCAAACTAGAAAACAGAACGACACTATAAAGCAAGGCTCAAATATGTGTCTGCCAAGAGAGGATAAATGCTTGGATATTTACAAAATGAAGAGAAGGGATGTGCTGGTGAACTGAAACTGGACTCAAGGGATGTGTGGTCTGGTGGTTTTAGTTTGTTTTTTTAACTTACGTCGCTGAGCCTTTCCCGGGAGCTGCTCCTGTGGAAGCCTTTGGATTCTCCACTGGCGCTCTCACTGTCACTGTCCCTGCAGCTGTTCTGCCCTGGCTTGAGCTGAAGGAAGAAGAAAAGAGAAAAAAGAAAGTGTCAGTGGTCTCCTCACACAACTGCTCCTTCACCATTATTCTTTAGGCCTTGTTAAAAATGAGCAATTTAAGGTCCTGATCTTTAGCATTTTTCTCAGCTTCTGAAAAGGGCCAGGCAAGCTGCTGTAGAAAGAAATGTGGAGGATAAGATAAGTAAAACATTTAGCATAAAATGTCAATGTAGATAAAAGACCTGAGCAAGCCGTCTAACATGAATCTTGGAGGGTAATCTTCCCTGAAATTTTTCCAATCCAGGTTTCACCAACTATGATTTCTATCTTATTCTCTCTGTCCTCTTCTGGAGAAGAAAAAAGAATCAACAAACAGAACAAAAAACAGGTTTTTCTTTTCCTAAGAGAAAATGATGAGATTCTTTATATTATCCTTTAACCACTAGGGAGACCCTGTTTTTCAAGATAAAACTCTAAAGATATTTTAAAATACCAAATTAAGACCTACAGCTTAAGTAAATTAAGCCAGCATCCATTCAACAACTATGTATTATATATAACATCTGAGCCTGAAAGTAAAACTAGAGATATGGTGCTTATTGATCAACTTAAACAGTCTTTGCTGTTTAACAGCTTTACAAAGCTATGTTACCAGTTTGTACACATTTACTGGCTCTGATTTTCATGTTCAGGATGTTGGACACATTTACCCAGATCTGATTTTCCACTCAAAATTAACAAACACACAGAACAACAAACGAAGAGTCTATATAAGACTGAGTCAAATTCACATGGACCATTAGTCTATGATGTTATCATCAACCATGTTTGCAGAGAACGCAAGCAATGTGATGCAAGTTACAACACACAGCCCCTTTACAATGTGCTCACTCTAGCAAGAGAAAGACAGAGCAGGATAAACAGAGACAGCAACACAAGGAAATACATACATGCTAAATGAAAACCAGAAACGAGCCAGTGATGTTAGGAGGAAAGGCAATTTCTGAAGTCTTGGATTGTAAAAGAAGATTAAGTTCCTATGGCTGAAAGGAGAGAGAAAAATACTCTTTATGAGAGAAAGTCAAAAAGAAAAGGCAGGGAAACCAACATGCTAGGAAATGATCAGGAGTCTTATCGGAAATTAAAAAAAAAAAAAACTTCTTTTGTGAGGAAACAGGAAGAAACAGTAGAGGGGGGCATGGGTCGGAAAAAGGGAAATGTCAAACAGAAGATGAGCCCCTTACTTCTGGGTAGCAGGGAACTTCAGAGAGCAGAACAGGTAACAGGTACCAAACACCTTGGCTGCAGGCTTTCATGTGGCTCTGGGACCATGGGGGAAGGTGAACCAAGATGACTGGAGAATGAAATCAAATCAGCATTCCCTGAAGCTTTAATGTGCCTCTTTAAAGACTACAGTTCAGACCTGACTTTTGGCCATACCATCTAATCAGCTATTCCCAAATCCCCACTATGTAAAAGGCATTCTTTTTTTTTTTATTTCAACATTTCTACAAATCCACTTTTATCACTTCCTTCTAAAATCCCTTTCTCCAGGAAGTCTCCTCTAATGGAACCAAGAAAAATGATCCTAATTTTATTCTGTATCCTCCTGAGCCCTTAAGTACTTAGTTTCCTCCTAAGTTACTGTTAAACCTGCTAATTCTAAGTTAATTCAGATGCAAGCTATATGAGCCTTTTCTTATTACTATGGAATAAAAGTTCAGAATACTGTCATTCTCTTCAAGTTTTCATTTTTATACTTGTAATAAAGGGGAATTGAACCTAAAATGAACATCACTTCCTTTCAATTTCCTGAACATGTCATGTCCATTCCTGGCCTGTACTTTTTCACACTAGATTTTCTCAGTCGGGAATGCTCACTCTCATTCTCTCTGCACTTTTCAGGTCAAAGTTTTTTCTGAAGATCAGATATTATCTCTTCCACCATGGTCTTTAAAGCGTTCTTTCTCTATATATTTATTTTCTGACATATGCCTTCAAAGTCTAGCAAGCATCTCATTTTTCATTGAATGCCTTTTATAATTGTGATATATTTTATCAAGTTTTAAAAGGCCTGCATTAAATATATTTATACTGATGATAAAATCTGTGTGTGGAATGTAATTCATAAACAATGTCAGAACTCTTATCTCATTGGATCTCTAAGTTAAGTAGAGGCAGGTAAAACTAACTCCAATGGGTGGAATGGAAAAAAAAATAACCCAAAAACTAATAAAGGAAATCTGCTCAGAATTAGGGAACAGATTGAGGACTAACCCCGTGTCTCTACTGCCTACTGCTATCTTCATTGTAATTCACAGTGCTTGCTTAAATGTTTACATTTAACCTGGAAATAATGATTCTGTGGTAGACCAGTATTCTCTCATAGAATTTATTTTCGATACATCTGTGGTAACTAACTGTACTCACAAAGAAATCTTATTAGGTAACATTTGATCAAATAATGTCTATAAAAACCAACACCTCCAACTTAGAGGAGAAATAAACATCAAACTTGGAATTCAGAGAATAAGAAAATCAAGACTTTTCCTAATGCTCAAATGGCTTAACAAAATCTAGACTTTCCATTTGGGTCTCTTCCATGTTTCTTCATGGAAGGAAAAGGATGACTTCAACAAGGTCCAACAAGAGACCCCAGTGGCCCTGATGTAAATTCTCTGACTAAATGTTGATCTAGGCTAAGAGCAAAACCCAAGAAAAACTCAGAGGAAGCAGCTTACTAGCCTTCCTTATGTCCTGCCAGCAAAAGCACTTCAGTGAGTCCTCTTCAGAGAGCCTTACATAAGATCCACCCCCATACTACCCCTTCCACCTCCAAGGCCAGGCTCAAGGTTAAAGGAAAACAGGATTTTAAGCTGTCAGACAGCTCAACATTTCAAAGATACAGACTGACTACAGTAAGTACTAAAGCTAAACCACAAGATTTCAGGCAAAGAAGTATTCCTTCCTAATCCCATGAATACATTTAAGACTGGCATTTTCAACCACATCCAATGGATCATTCGGGGTAGCATAACTAACTCAGAAGTTGTAATCCTTCACCTGAAATTCCCAGCTATTACCTACAACCAAGAGACATTTCAAAGGCCAGATGCTGGCTTAAACATTTAAAGACCTAAGAAAAATCAATCTGCATGCATTGATTTCTCCTAGCATTCACAGCAGCTCTGTTATAAGAAAGTTTCTGCTATAAATGATGGAATGAAATTTTTTACTATCAGTCTTTAGATATCTAAGGACCTCACTTATTTAAAAATTACTACAATTCACTCTAGTTTTAGAAGTTTCTACCCATTAGGTATAATATCGTTTAAGAATCAGAAGTAGAAAAGAGAAAAAAAAAAAGTGAAAGGAAGCTAGCATCTAGCATGAGTGGCTGTAATACTATCAAGTAGGATTATCATCTTGTGTAAAATACAAGAAGCCAGTGTATTTTCATCAGATTTCGTAGTCAGCAGTATATTTACCATGCTCTGAAACTGTGCTGTCATTACAGAGTTAACTATTATTAATGACTAATTGGGAAAATAATGATACATGGTTTTGTTATGGCTAATGAACATGTAAGAGAGTCCCACTGTCCCAGACTGAGGGAAGGTGGAGCAATTCTGTGCACATCTGGCAAGATTTGTGAGCTAGGCTGTGCCATTCTTTTCATGTGTGTATGGAGAGTTCCAAGAAGATGCAAGATGTTCAGAAGGTGCCATTAACTCTTCAAACAAAACTCACAAACGGATGAAGTATGTGAGAAGATACCTATGCCTAGAACTCAAGAAGACTGATGGGACTTACGCAGTGCCATGCACAAGAACAGCCGAAAGTAATCTCCTACCCCAGTTTTGGTTCCTCAAAGCACCATAAATCTTATCTTGGACTGCTGAGTATTCCTGCAGGGATCGAAATGAACAATATACAACATTTCTTAAGGTGCCAATAAGCACCAAATCTCCTGTTCAATGAAATTTTAAAATATACCTCCACTAACATCAAAACAGTGAGTATTTAATCTCATAAAAGTGGTGTTTTATTTTTCCCATATAAAACTGTCCCTAAGTGGAGAAAGTTTCATAGATTGAGTGGCATTTTGACTGTTTTATTTCTTAGGCTTTAAAAGGTATTTTGGAGGAAAGGCACAGAACCAAAGTAAATAACTTAATGAAAAGGTTGGACATGTCAAAACAAGCTAGCAGGAAATAACTAGTACAAACAAAATTATAAAGTTGAATAGTAAAAAACTTGTTCTTAAGAAATAAATATTGTACTTTTAAATGCATAGTAATAATATGTGACAGGAACAAAAATTAAATTCTGGAAGCTAGGGTAGAGCAAGGAATTTGTGTGAAATTTCTCTGGTATCACAGAATCAGAAGTTATACTGTTATTGTTTTCAACAGAAAAAGAATTTTAAGGATTTCATAATCATAAAATTAATCACTAGTAAAATTTAAATATTAAAGTTATTTGCTTCTAAGTTACTATCAAATGTAAAAGAATAAGAATAATAATTAACAGAAATGGAAAAAATAAGGGAAATAGCAACAAAGCAAGCATGCGGTTAAGTATATTGGTTATTATAACAATAACACACATGGATTAAGCTCCCTTTTATTTTTAAAGGCAAGGATATCTAGTTTGTATTGGATAAAGTAAAAAAAAAATGTATTTGCTGGTCATAAAGCACTCCTAAATTTTAAAAGAGAAAAAAAGACAAAATATTAGAAATAAATGGCTAAAGTCATATGCCAAAGATAATCATTTTATAGCAATAAAAGGTATGATATTTACCTTTTACACTTCCGTTCTTTATAAAAGAAAATCAACAGGAGTTAAAAAACTTTAACATGCTATTTACACTAAGAAAATAAAACAGAAAGGGACCCAGGGGTTAAAGTGTTACAGAACTCAGTTTGACTCAAGCAATACATATTAAATTAAGTAACTTATATAGACCACATCTTCCAGAGCATCCAGGGCACATTACCACAAACTGAAGATG